ACAACCCCTGGTAAGCCCCAATTATGGGAGGAAGCTAACTGCTTCCAACATCTGTCAATCGGCTCGTCACAAGAGTCCATCACGACAGAAACCCAATATTTTTACTGTTGCCTTTTGTTATATTTGTGCTTTGTTTTATTTTTGTTGTATCAGCAGAAATAAAAACACACACACACACACACACACACACACACACACACACATATATATATATATATATATATATTATATATATATACATTATATATATATATATATAAGCAAAATACCACTCAGGCATCATCACGAAATCTCCAAAACCGTGAAGTCTACAAATTTAAAATTTGGCATGTATGTTCCTCTTGGCTTCTAGGTGCCCCCATTGGGACATTAGTATTTCTTATATTATTATTAACATGCTCTGATGCTAAGGAGTTAGACATTCTACTCTCCCTCCCCACCTGAAAAGAACTGTTCCAACTGCCAGTTGCCTTATATTAGCAAGCTCTGATGCTAAGCATTTAGACCAGTGGTGGGTTCCGGATCCCGTTCCAACCGCTACAGTTGGAACGGGTCTGGCGGTGTCCACATGGATGCACGCAGCGCGCATGCACACATGTGTAGCGTGCACATGTGTCTTAGCGCCTCCGTGAGCCTCCGCAATGCTCCAGCTGCTCAGCATCGTGTTGCGCAGGCGCTGTATGCGCCCTGTACGTGCGCGAAAGCCCTGAAGACTTAAAAGACCGGTAAGAAGCTCAGGCGGGCCGGTGCACCCTCCGGAGGTATCCGGTTCTCCGGGCAGGCTCCGGTACACCTGTACTGGGGCGTACCGCCTGCAACCCACCACTGAGTTAGACCTTCTACTCTCCCTCCCCACCTGATAAGAACTCTGTTCCAACCACCAGTTGCCTCACATTCTGTTACCTCAGTTCAAACTGACAGACGTTCCACTCCTTCATTCAGGGACGGTCTGGGGCTCCTTACAGTACTAAGCATCGGTACCTCACCAAAATATCTACGCCTTCCACCTATGGAACGGCTTCTGGACTCAAGGTGGTGGGAGTGATATTCCCTTATGTGTTTCAATCACTGACCACCCCTGAGGATTGTGAACCAAATTTTTCCTGCCTAGCCCGATCGCATAGTTTTATCGCGAAGCACGGGTATCCAGCTAGTATTAAATATTTTCCTAGGAATTTGAAGGAAGGCAGAAGCACTGTTCTACATTCCAAGTGTAACAGCTGGTTTACCTTACTCAAAGTTACATAAACTGACTTACAAAATCTGAAGATTTTTCCGAGAAGATGGAGTTTCAATGACAGGTGGGCGACTTAATGATCACAATGGAGCCTGGCATTTCTGTGCTTAAGTGAATTTTGCGTCCTTTTACATCTTTTCTTGCCTTGGTTATTAAGTGAATCACTGCCGTTGATAAATTAGTCATCTGGTTGTTAAGTGAGTCCGGCTTCCCCCATTAACTTTGCTTTGTCAGATGGACACAAAAAGGGATTGCGTGACCCTGGAACACAGCAACCGTCATAAGTATGAATAAGTTGCCAAGCATCACCTGAGCACAGGGGTGGCTGAAAAGGTCATAACTCTGAAAAAAAAGGCCTGTCACTTTTTCCAATGCTGCTGTAACTTTTGAACGGTCACTAAATGAACTGTTGTAAGTCAAGGACTTACCTGTATACCAGGAAATTAAGGGGACTGAAACTGGAAATTTTCAGCACAGGCTCCACAGAAGACTTCAGAGGCTGTCTCCTGAACACAGCTGGTTTCGTTTTTGTCTATTGTATTTTAATATTTTCACTTGTAACAGGTTTCATTGAGTATCAGGCAGCTTTTAAATAAATCCCAAGGTGTGTGCTGAACATTTTATGAGCGGATTTGCAGGGGAGATGCTCCCACTATTTACCTATTGGATTTGTGCTCTGGGGCAATCAAAGACCCCAAATCGTTGACATGTATTTATCTCCTGTCTTTATTATTTTTACAAATAACTTAAGATGGCGAAGATATCCAACACACCTTCCTTCTATTTCCCCACAACCACCCTGTGAGGTGGGCTGGGCAGAGAGAGAGGGGAGCTGGCCTGGTCACGCAGTTGGCTTCCATAGCTAAAGCGAGACTCAGTGATATCTCTACCTGTGGCAGAATATCACATATTTCCAGGTATTCCCCCAAGTAGGTAATTCCCAGTGACCTGTCGTATTTCAGATTGCGAATTATTTAGGTTTATTATGATGAATAATATTATTAGCTTGTGACTCCTGCGTGTTTTGACAAGAGTCCGAGAAACCCCTGAAAGATGCGAAACTAAGGAAGCTGATCGCTTCCAATATTTCACTCTTTATTCCCAACCCCGAGGGGCAGGTTAAAAAGTTTCAAGATTATATTGTTTTATGTGGAGTCTAGACTAACCCATTAAGCAGGGTGTGAACACAGCCTACGCTGCTTTTCCTGTCCTGGAAACCAACCAAATACCAAAATCTCCCCACAAAAAGGCAAATATATTCCCAACAACGCACAGGAGACAACAGACTGACAGAAGGTGTTTGTTTTATGGTATTTAATAATTGAACAACGCTCCAGCTGTTACACATTCAGAATACAAAATGAGTTGGAAGGGACCTTTTGGAGGTCTTCTAGTCCAACCCGCTCCTCAAAGCAGAAGACCCTATACCATTTCAGACAAATGGCTGTCCAATCTCTTCCTGAAAGCCTCCAGTGATGGAGCACCCACAGCTTCTGTAGGCAAGCCCTTGCACTGGTTAATTGTTCTTGTCAGGAAATTTCTCATTTCAAGGTTGGATCTTCCTTCCATCATCTTCCATCTGTTGCTTCTTACCCTGCCTGGAGAATAGGTCAAACCCTTCTTCTCTATAACAGCCCTGTGCTAGTCGTTCCCGACTCTAGGGGGCGGTGCTCAACTCCATTTCAAAGCCAAAGAGCCAGCACTGTCTGAAGATGTCTCTGTGGTCATGTGGCCGGCATGACTCAATGCCAAAGGCGCACGGAACGCTGTTCCCTTCCCACCAAAGGTGGTCCCTATTTTTTCTACTTGCGTTTTTACGTGGTTTCGAACTGCTAGGTTAGCAGAAGCTGGGACAAATAATGGGAGTTCACTTCCTTACACCGCTCTGATCAACAAGTTCAGCGTCTTAGCCCCTGAGCCACCCTGAGCGTCCCTTCAATTCAATTATTGTCACTTATATTTAATATTATATTTAATATTAAAATATTAATTCCTAATAATTCTTTTCTAATCTGACCACAGAACCAAGCCATGGAATAGAAGTTGCCTTCAGAAGTTGTGGGAGCTTCATCACTGGAAGCTTTGAAGAAGAGATTGGACTGCCATCTGTAAGAATGATGCTGGGGGTGGGTGGGGGTGGACTAGATGACCTATAAGGTCCCTTCCACTTATTCTGTTATTCACGCCAGATCCATCAGCCACAGAAGAAACTTATTTCGGGACATAAAGAAACTGAAACGAGAAATTCACGCCAAGAAATAATGGAGGACTCGGCATGCGAGTTGTCTTTGGGCATCGGCTGCGTTCACACGATCTCCTCCCCAATTTAGCCAACCACGTTTTGGCGATGCTGATCAGCGCATGGGACGGCACAGAACCCAGCGCCACGTGCAGCCTCACTTCCTCCACCCCGCCGCTTCCGCCCAAGGAGAGCGCACCAATCGGGGAGCCTCGCCTCGCCAGCTCGGCCTCTCCATTGGCTAACGTTGCCTCCGCCCGCCTCCGAAAGAGGCGCGGCTTCTGATAGGATGAGGCGGGGACGGCGCTCATTGGCCCCCCGTGCCCTGTCCGCGAGAGCTCGAACGGCGGGCCGTCCATCCTACCGAGGGGGCGGGGCCTGAGGCTGCGCGGATCCCGGATTGGCCAGAGCAGCCCAGCGGGGGCGGGGAAAAGAGCGAAGAGCTCCCTCAGCCTCCCTCTTTTCGGCTCAGGCGGAGACTCGAGCCAGGCGCTGGGAGCGTGAGGTGGTTTTTTTTCGCGCTGCAGCTGAACATCCGGACAACTCCGCCGCCATTATGGTGAAGCTCGCTAAGGTGAGACGCGCGGCCTAGCCTGAGAGGGTGATGGCGGCGGCGGCCTTAAAACAGCCAGGCTATTGAAGGGGCGGGAGGGGGGGTTGACGAGGGCGGGCAACTCCCGCGGCCTTTCGCGCGCGCGCGTGGCGGTTTCTAGGCCTCCCCCCGCGCTCAATCCGTGAAAGAAAGCCAAGCGGGGACGAGGATAATTAGAAACCGTTTAAGCCCCCCCCTCTTTTTTTTTCCTATTCCTTCCCTCGCGCTTTGAAGCGCCCACACGCGCTCGGCGGTCGAACGTTCGCCGGTTTCTAGGCTCCCCCCTCCTCGCGCGTATCGGACCGGCATTGAGAGAGAGAGAGAGAGAGAGCGCGCGCGCGCCTGCTTGCCGCGAACGGTTTCTAGGCGCCCAGCCTGCCTCGCGCCGCCCCGACGTCGCTCCTACTGCGCGCGCGCGCGCAGAGGGGGAAAAAAAAAAGAAGAGACAGACGAGACCTCCCGTTCCCGGGCGCGCGGGTTTCCCCCACGCGCGCGCACCCGACCACGTGACAGCGACTCCTTTTCCCGAGAGCACGTGAAGGGGGGGGGCGGGCGGAAAGCCGCGCTTCCTCGTGGATGGGTGGACAGAAGCGGGGTGGCGGGTTCCCACGTGGTGCCTCCGCGGTGCTTTAGCCCGGCTATGTGGATCTCCCCGCCCCACTTGGGGCTTCTGGGGCCCTCCCGATCTGGCTTTAGGCCCCGGCTGGAAGCCGGATGGCTGCCCACGAGGCCTCGAGTGGGAGATTCTCCGGGCCCAGTTCTCCCCCACCCCCCTTGATGTCATAAACGGGCCTTCCAGTGTGGGGGGGGGGGCTTATGCACACCCTAACCCAGTGGTTCCCAACTTTTTTTTTTGGCTATGCCCCACCTAAGCACCTCTAAAATTCTGATCCCCCCCCACTGATATACAATTCCTACTTTGCTCAAAAAGTGAACTCCACTCAGGCGGAGGAAGCCTAAAAGGCCATTGGCTTGGTTTAAACAAGGTTCCAGTTTGCCCCCATTAAGAAATCAAATCCCCCCCCCCTTTTTGGGACCTGGGAACCACTGGCCTAACCTTAAGTCAACTTAAAGGGGGGGACTACCCTCGAGGGAGGCTGGATGGTAGGCTTGCCTCGAATTCTGCAATTGAAGCAGGCCCCAGAAAAGGATCCCCCCCTCACCCATATCCCTGATCCCTAAAGCAGTGTTTCTCAACCTTGGCCACTTGAAGATGTCTGGACTTCAACTCCCAGAATTCCCCAGCCAGCGAATGCTGGCTGGGGAATTCTGGG